GTGAGTTTTATTCTTTAACATGAGATCATAAGTGATAAGCCTTATAGTAAATCAACAGACAACAGAGTTTAGAAAGCTGGTCAAGTATTTACAAAACATACAGGAGCAAGATGGAAATACAAACCTTCCACACAAACTTTTTTGAGATTTACTGTGTCTGGTTAAGTGTAAAGGAAAAGGTTTCAACAATGTCTTTGGCTTGAAGAAATACTGCATCATCTGGTGTTGGGATACACTACCTATTCTTACTGTCTTGCAAACTTCCTCCATGACTTAGAACAAGGCCACATAAATCATTTAAAGATGCAGTAGAAGATACAGGAGCAAGAACAACCTTTGACCTTTGTTCCCTACCACCATCTGGAGAAATACTTGGCTGAAACCAGCAACTCCCACATTTACACTTCTATAGCAGGTGGTTTGGTGATGCTGAGATTTGATCAAGTGATCCTTTAGATTTTTGTAAACTAAAAATGAATCATAATTAACACATATAACCTTAATTTCTGAGAACAATGGATATTAATCCTACTTCAGTAGAAAGTCTGATATCCACACTAATTAGGATTGACCTCCTTGCAGTTATACTACACCAGCATGAAGATAACGGACAGGATAATAATCCCTCAAGAAATGAAAACAATAATAGATTTGGTCACTTCAATCCACTGTTTGTGGGACACTGCTGTGCGCAATTAGCTGCCGTGTTTTGCCCACAAAATATACAGTCAATTCACTTTACAGTATATTCTGTGCAGTGCTTTGAAATGTCTAGAAGGCATGAAAAGTGCTATATCAAATGTAAGGATTATTATACTATATTAAATGTTAACAATATTTGCAAGATGTTTTTGAACAATTCTGCTCATTTTCAGAATGAGGAGAGACTGGAAAGTGAGATGAAGATTTGAAAAAAAGCAGGTGGCAGTGCCACAACATGATGGGCTTTGATGTGCTTCTGTGCTGAAAGTTTCCGTGCTTTGTTTACATAGCAAAGATGACGATATCGAGTTGTCTATTCAAAAGTCCACAAAGTAATTTGTTTGGACTTGCAAAGACATAGAGATTTAAAAGTCAAAAATAGTTTGAATGCATTTAAAACTTTCAAATTACCTTCCATTTTGTTTGAAAAGATTAGAAAATTAACCTTATAACCGTCACTGTCTAATAAATAATAAGCCTTGCATTTGATCTAGCGCCTTATCACGCCTTTGAGACGTCTCAAAGCGCTTTCACAGAATATACTGTAAGGTGAATTGACTGTATATTTTGTGGGTGATTTTCTACAGGCTTTTACACGTTCACTGCCCCTTTGCAACTGCTCCCAAAAATTATGATTCTTACAAAATAATGTATTGCAGCATGTTGGAATACTGACCTGTTATACCAAATAGCAATAAGATACAGGATCCCAGATTCAATTGTCAGCAGCTTTTACCCAGGTATACACCACTGTGATTTTGAACACGGTGCAACATAACTCACACAATTGAATTATGCTCTCTACTCACTAAACAGTAAAATTTGTAATGTTAGTAAAGTGTTGGCTGTCCTTGGGACTTAACTTGTCAAACAGTAAGTCGTTATGGGTGGTCCAGCACAGGCACTTATTCAACTTTAAAAATTAAAGTTTAAACGTTGGCCTGGTCTCTATTGCAGTTGTGCTGCAGCTGGTCAAAGTGACAACTGCAGTGACAATATGTCTGTGAGGCAAAGCCAAATTACACAATGGAACCAGATGCTGACTTTATACTCGTTCTATATATTTTGTCACATTATAGTCATCTGGAAGGGATCCTGACAGAGGACTGAAAGTTGTAAACCATGCCAATGCTTAGCACTGTACATTACAATGGAGATCAGCAACTTGCCATGAGAAAAAGTCACAGTGGGAATATCAGACACAGCAGCAATTTGAATGCCAATCTCTCAGTCCCTGACATACTAATCGGTGAAAACTAGGCTGTGCAAAAATAGTTATTTCTTTGCGAGGAGGGAAAGGATGGTATGTTCCTTTGAGGTTTTTTTTTGCTCCTTCCATCATATCTCCCCATTTTACACATCATTTTCAAAGAAAATTAATAGTTGAATCAAAGAGTCCAAACATCACCCTGGACTTGGTCAAATAAAACAATTAAGAGACATTTGTACCTTCACCCCTTCCTATCTTCTGGCATCTCATATCTTACAGAGAATGGGAGGCCCAAACTTCTGATGATGTTACTTTCGAGATTACTGCTAAAAGATTTGAAGGCAGATAGCAGTATTTTCCTCAATTTTCCTTTCTTCTGAGGGAAAAGCACCTTGCTCTCCCTAGAGCATCTGGCTGAGAAATTATTGAGTGGTGGTATTGTGAGTGCAAATGCACATTGAGATAATATATTGTATTTACATTGTCAAAAAAAGTGCAGTAACATTTAAAAGCTTGCAGCATAATCGTTTTTTTAAAAAAAGGAAAATTCCCATCCCCAAAACAAATTGCTACACAAGTAAAACTGTTGTACAGGAAGTTCTTAAATATACACTTCGGTTTTGATTTACACCACAAGCCTTCTCTAAATAATTTATGGCATGATAAATTTATTGCACAGTGCAGGCTAACTGCAAATAAGAATTGCCAAATAATTAGATTTTAGTGCAATGCTTATAAATTATCCACTGATTTGTCCAGACTTGTTTGTCAGCCCTGTTGTGCTTTAGGTCATCTTTGACATTTTGGTGTTTTTGTTTTAATTGCTGATTTACACTTTGACAGATGAGTCTTGATGCCTGTTGTACAGAGCTGTGATGTCCAAAGGGATTCAAGGCAATTAGAAGAGAAGTGTTCACCTTAGATGCAATGTTAGACTTTATTCTGCTCTTTTAGATTTCACAGTTAAGAGAAAAGCAGAAGATAAGCAACTGGTTTACATTGAAAGAAAACAGGCAAAATACTAAATTTACAGGATGTGTCTCAAAATACAGCAAAAGTACAGAGATCACATCACTCAGACAGGTTGAGCCAGATATAGAAATGTAATGCAACGGCATTACTATAGTATTGATACCAGTCATGAACTATCCACTGGTCTCAAAGCGACACTTGTACTTAAAATAACATGTTAAAGGTTAATATTTTTAGAAAAGTATGAAATGGAGGGACTGTACACAGGGACTGAGTGATACTGAACATGAGCTCAAAAAAACATAATGGGACAGTTTTCAGATCATAAGGAATGTCAGCTTGATTGCTAATACACTACCCTAAATAATATGGTAACATTGTAAAATTTACTGCCGAACCTGTAGTCAGGTGACCCGAGTAGGTGGAATTGACTGTGTTCAAAGGAATCTGGATAGTTAAGAAAAGGTCTAAAGAATGGATTTTACTATGATAGTGAGAAGATTTGCCTGATGCTCTTACAGACCACATTAAGCACCATGAAGTGATGGGGGGTAAATTTTGATTTTTGTCCTCTCCTTCCTTCCAACCCCATTTCTCTCACTGCTGTTGATTCACAGTCTCAGCTGTACTTAGTAGTGCCTCACTTGCCATGCCCTCAGAAAGAACACATGGTTCCATGATTCTCATAAGAACATAAAAATTTGCTAGGTGAAAGAAGACCAAGGTATATCTAGCTTGCCTGAAACTATGCCGACAGTCACTTGACCCGTTGTGTCCCAAATTATACACTATATTAGTATTACTACTAATATATTATTTTCTAGGAGAAATCTATCTAATTTGTTCTTGAAACAATGGAGTCCTACAGGACTCAGTGTTAGAGCTCAGTGGTTAGAGCACTCACTTTGTAAGCGAGAGACCTGAGTTCAATTCCAGGCAGAGGGCGAAACCTTGGGCAAGTTTCCTTACTCCACACAGGGCCTAATAATAATCCCTCCAAAACCAAACAATAATAAATTGGTCATTTTCAATCTACGACTGTTTGTGGGACATTGCTGTGCGCCATTGGCTGCCGCGTTCGCCCACAAATATACAGTCAATTCACTTTACAGTGTGTTCTGTGAAGCGCTTTGGGATGTCCTCCCGATGTGAAAAGCGCTATATCAAATGCAAGGATTATTATTATTATTAAATGACACTTTGTTCCATAAGTTTACTACTTGCCCACTGAAGTAGTGACTCCGCAGATTTGTTTTGAATGTACCCCCTTCAATTGCAGGCCATGTCCTCTAGTTCTACTGTTCAGTATAAGATAAAATAGCTTATCATGGTCTACATGATCTAATCCCTTTAGAATCTTAAAGATCGTAATCATATCCCCCTTCAACCTTCTCTTCTCCAGCGTGAACATGCCCAGTTTACCTAATTGCTCCTTGTAGTCCAGGCCCTCCATCCCCTCAATCATTTTGTTTGCCTTCCTATGTATCCTCAATTGATGCAATATCCTTTTTATATTGCGGTGACCAAAACTGCACATGCTATTCCAAGTGTGGTTGCACTAGTGATTTATAAAGTGGCAGGATTACCCCACTATTTTGGCTCAATATTGTCCTTTTAATACAAACCAGCATCAGGTTTGTCTCAATTTACTTAAATTTCTTGTAAATTACTATAAAAAACACAACCTTTGTGTAACACTCCCAACAGTATTTGTTCAACTGCCTAAAGAACAACTGATGATGATATTATAATTGGGCACTTTCTCAGGTGCCAAAATAATCAATAGAATAATAAGTTTACTGTTGTATTGATGTTCTTATTGCATTTAATAAATACTAATATCATATCTTATTTGCAAAAATGTTAAACACATCTAGAAACAGAATACCACAACTGCACCAACCTTTCCTTCACATTGACTTATACAATCCAATATTAGACTTCTATAAATTGGATATCACTATTTTCAGAATTTGGCTCTACCATTGTCTTGTACTGTATAACAATATTCCTAGCTATAGTTTCTGAATTTTACTGTTGCAATTATCTTAGACAATTCTAAGAGAAAACAATAAACAGAAGATTAGAAATATATAGCTTTGCTTTACAAAAATACCTGAGGTTTAATCAATTCTTTATCGCATGTAGCTTCAAAGTCCAAAACCAAAAAATTGTGGTATAGCTGTGGAGGAAAGGACGATTTGGATGAAGACTGCCGATCTGAAGCCATGTTGTTACCAGTCAAAGAAGACAGTGAGTAAATATATCCAGAATGCCTTTTAAAAATTGATTGTGCAACTTCTCTCGCAGTGGAGAATGAAACTACTGTAGATCTTCCCAATCCAGAACTTGTGTGTAAAATGCCACTTCTGATCCAATGGATACACTTCAGCATTGGGTTTCTGAAACAAAGTCAAAAGTCAAATTCAATACATTAGGAAAGCAGAGAATGGTTAAAGATTTATAGAATTCATAAGTTAAAGCTTCCGATGCCAAAAACAGCAGATATTCAAAACAAAAGTTCACCAATTCTGTTGACTGTAAGGTACCCACTGGCTATGCAAATCTAATGAGTATTGCTTCATTATGTAATGCATTAAAAAGCACTTGCAGTTATTTTTCTTGTAGACTACCTATCCACCATTCTTCCATGCCCTCCTCACCCACCCCCTCATCCCCGAGACAGGAGACTGGTACAGAGTAGACTAGAATTAGTTTTGGAACTGACATTAAAAACTTCAACCCTACAGCCATTTCCAACGAGTCCTTGGCATTCCAGCTGATATGCTGATATTGTCAAAGCACACTGGAAACATAAATGAATGGTACATTAGTGTAACAGTGTAAATCTCCACTTTCCTGAACCAAACATAGTGCAGGATAGTGCTTTCAATGTTTAACATCTATATTGGCACTATGCGCATTGCAAAAATAAAATCTAGTCTATTGTTGCAGTAGCCTAGAGGGAATTTTGAACATTATTTAACCCAGATAATATACTAACTGACACAGGAGTGCTCGGTATTAAGGAAGGACAAAATGGAAATAAAGTCAGTTTAATTTCCCCAATACCATCATCCCTTAACTCCATCAGAACAAAGTTCATTCCTCACAATAATAAACTAGGAGCGGAATTAATTGTTTTGCGGCAAATATTTTTCAATGGCTCAATGTTTTTCAAAAGAACAGGACTGCGTCATTCCAGGTGCAGCTGGTGTATGACTGCAATAGTATTTTTTGCATCACAGCTTTCCTGCCTAAGGGCAAGGGTTAATCCTGTGGCAACACAGGAACTAAAGTACAGTAGCCATCTGGCTTAGGATCCTCTTTGGGTCATATGTCTATTATATTCATCAGCCAAAATTCCTCCTTCCTTCCCCCTATTGATAATTCTTAAGTTGGTTGAGATAAACAGTGCAACATTAGACAAGTCCAATCAAAACTGCCCATGCTTAGTAATAGTGACATTAATTGGTTTCCATAAGCTTCAGTTCAAAGTCTAATCCAAATGTTTAATGGTTTGGTGTTTTAGAACTAGTATCAACTTCAAAGGTATTACAGGATACTCCATGCAACATCCATTGTGGATTCCTATAAAACTTGTTTATCTTTTAATGTCCTCTAAAAACCGAGAAAAAAACTAACACACCAGTACCATGTTGTAGGCATTTTATAGCCGCAGTATACTTATTCGGTTATCATTACCACAGTACTAATTTAAGGAATGTCTAACCAGCCAAATTTGATCTAGAATTGTTTTTCCCCTTATTTCCAATATACAAGTGGCCAACCTTCTGCAAATTAGTGGCAAGCCAGAAGTTTGTGTTTTAACTGCAATTCAACCAGGCCCCCCAATTTCATATCTACGTAGTAAACTTCAGAAAGGAGTAGATTATCCATCCAACTTCCCAAAAGATTTCTTTGACATCTCACCCTGCAAACTTGTTTGGTTTATTTTTGTAACCCTATCACAAAGTGCCTTATGTCAATGAAATATCTCAAAGCACTTCTTAGGATTTTTAACTATGAAGTGTAGTGACTGTATATTTTGTAGGTGAACATGGCGAATTTGTGCGTGCATTGTCTCACAAACTGCCATGAAGTGAATGATTAATTTTATGTGGAGGATCGTTGGCCAGAAAACCAGGAAAATCTTCCTTCTTTTTGATTAGTGCCATTGGATATTGAACACCCATTTGAACAGACGATACCTTTGAAGTTACTTGTAGTTCCCAGGTGTCGACATGAAACACTTCCAATTAGAGGAAAGAATCACTATTTGTGACCCAGTCATTAGTCATGACACCTGATACAAATCCTCACAATTTAGAGCCCATTTGCTCTTTCCATCAAGCAGATAAATCAGAAATTTGTTCATGACCATTGCCTTGATGGGACGGTATGTGCATCATATAATTAGTTTATGTGAAAGCCACGGTAATAATGAATGGGTCTGCCTCATAAGGATGGCTATACAGATCCATTTAGTCTAGAAGCTAAGTTTGCAAAGGCACATGCGAACACAAGCATTTTGTTTTATCAGTGCGAGTCAAGATTGAGACTATGTCCTGAAAATATCTCTCGTGTCCTTGATGTTTTTGAAAGGACTGGAATTGTCTATTTCCAGATGCAACTTTATTACAATTGTTTACATAATAAGTCATTGTGTTACAACAGATTTCTTGTCAACAAGTTCACTGACGTAATGTGATGAGACAGCTGAGAATAGTTCATTCAGTATTTAGTTAACAAGAACAGGGAATTAGTTGACAAATTCTGAAAACTAGTAAAATATTAATGACAGAAAATGGCTGCTGAGACATTAACAAATCATGGAAACTAATCACAAAAGTAGCTGCCAGATATTAGTCATTGGCCTTATATATACACCAGATGTCCATACATTTTAGAATTTCTTGTTTTTTTTGACTTATTGACTCAAATGATTAGTTAGACGTCAATAAATTAAAATAAAAAACTATTTATTGCATTTTGCTGACAAAATTCAATCAAATTGGTACTACAGTATCATCTTTAAGCAATACATTGAAAATGCTTCAGCTTTCCTGCCTAAGTGTGAACTATAAATGAAAATCTTGGATCACTGTTCCAAAAATCCTTATGCAAAGCTTCTTTAAATGTGTAAACAGCAGCTTAAAATGCAATTGAACCATGGCATTGCGTGTTGGCCTGCAGCCTGCATACGAAACCTGTGTTATGCATACTTCCTCATCCCAACCCTGTCCCCCCATGCTCGGGTCCTGATCCCCGACTGTTCAGCGCCTTGGGACGTCCTCCCCACGTGACTAGTGCTTACAAATGTAGTTTTGTTGTTGTTAGACTGAGGCAAAAGAACAAAATGTTAGTCTCCTCTAACTCCTGGCCAATTTTATGAAGAGGAAATAAGATCTCAACTTTCAAGATTTTTGAGGGCCCCAAAACCTCGATACAATATAGATATTAAAGTGAATCAGAGCACCATGAACTCGTAATGGGACAATGGAACAAGATCAAAGGAAATTGAGGAGAAAGAAAAGAAACCCTTTATCAGCAGTCTCCAGTTCTTGTGATGTCAATAAATGTAGAACAGCTGGCTGGGAGCATGCTACAAGGTCGTAATACAATCAAGGGGTTTTGATGAAGTCATAGTTTTTAATAGTCTCAAAACATACTTTCATACAGCTGAAATCAAGAAGATATCAAATCTTCTATCGTGTCTGCAAATTGCCATTAAAGCTTCAATTTTGAATATCGACCACTACCCAATTTCCATTAATTTTCAAATTCTGTGACCACCTCACTCCCCGGTAACAGGAAGAGAGAGTAAGACCATGACTACAAGGTAAACATGTGCACTCGTATAAATTACACTGAAAATAGCAGATGGTTCGGGAATGCATTATAAAAGGTTTGAATGAATGACTTCGTAAATATCATGAGTGCTGTTCACACAGTTGTGCAAACTGCAAATCTACTGCATCACATGATATAAATGGGATAGAATTGTATTGCTTACAGCTTATTTGATTGGGATGAAGTTTAACGCATTGCTTTTACGTAAAAGGTTAACTCATTAGAGAGAAATGATATGGTAATTCACTGGGGATTGCAGTGTCGTTTTATTTATATTCTACTGTAAGCACAAGTTATATAAAGGTATAGATGCTCCTATCTAGACACCATGTCTTTTAATACTGTACTTCAAGGACAGGCATGGGAGAAAATTAAATGTTATAGATGGTGTCCTGCTGAACTACTAACCAAACTGAGCCAAAAGATCAAATAAAATCAGTGAATCTGGTTGAAAAATGTACTTGCCAGTGCTTTAATTCCTCATTTACATGCAACAGATGTGTTGTCACTTGCTATTGCCTGCTTCAATTCTGAACAGCTGCAATAATGATGTCATCTGCTGGGTTTCTTGCACTAGAAAGTACAGTGAGAATGACACTAAATAGCATCTTTAGTGGTGAATGAGAAGTTAATGAGGTAACGTAGTCCCCCAGGTCACTTGAGATTATAGTGAACTGAAAATTTAACTCATCCAATTCAAACATCAAAACAAACCTGTGAATTAAAGTGAGTTGTATTTTCTTAAGTGCCATCACAAAACCATTGGTCCATGAAGGTAGAAGAAAGTTATTATGGGTGGATCTTTCTTACGGGGCAAACTGATAAGATTCCTGAGGTATGTTTTGCCTTTTACTTGGTCTTCTTCTATTAGGTCTAGAATTGTTGCTACATTATTTAACTGCCATTCTGCCATGAGAAAAAATAAATTCAGTGTACCTAAAAGTTTATTTTAAAGGCCACAATCACAGGCACTGGGTGGTAAAATGAGGTAGTCAATGACCTCTTACTTCTGGAATCTAAATTTGATTTTATCCCAGATAGAAAACTAAGTTTTCTGTCTGTAGTTGTGCAGAGAGCTTTCTGAAAGGAGTACTCTCAGTTCCATCCTTATGGACATTGGCTCACAGCAGATAACTATTTTCAATTTGGTCCACTCCTCCTACTATATACAATAGGCAATCATTCATTGTAGCAAGTTCATAATAAATACACTATGTTTTGTAAACAAAATAGATTTTTTTTAAGACACAAGCGTAGTTCCAAAATATAAAGACAACTTAGCAAATAACAACTGAAATGTGTTTTTTTTTAAGTAGTGTTCAACACTGTCAGCAAAGTGAATGGAACAATCATCACTTTTGAGCCCCAGTGTGAGCATCCACAAGTTTTGCATAGGTCAGATACACGGCAACAACTGCAAACAATGTGCTCCAACTCCAAACTCAGAACAATACCTTCCACACTGTCATCAAATGAAGTGCTATCTTGTACTTGATTTAACCTGCCCCACAAGGAACTCATAGAAACAACTTCATATCAGCTATACTCCTACAGTCAGAACAATCTATTAACATTGAATTCAAACAGTTCACAATTTCTGGCATACTATTTCAGTCCTTTCATTCAAATAAATAGAGCTTTGGCCTCATGAGTTATGATTTATGATTCCTCTGTGGTTCATTTTTCCATAACCCACTACTCATTTCTGCTTATTCATATACAATGTATATATTTATTGTCATGCCATTTCCTGATAATCAACTGTTAATTCTCACTTGATAAACTTGGGGTGTTTGATTCAATGATCATTAATTCACCGGTACTCACTGTGTGAGGTGTTACCACTATTGACATGTGCCTCTAAACTATCTTCATAAGCTCCTGTGATAACCAATGTTAAAACAAGTAATCTCATCTGAGTTCATTTTTATGAATGGAGTTTTGTTCTTAACAGTTTAACAACATTTGAACCTTGAGACAAAATTACTGACTTTTAATCACTCCCATGTATCAATTATTCTCGTCATAAACCATGAAATAATGTTCTAAACATCCATCTGTTTTCGCAGTACAAGACTGCTCTCAGCTGTTCATTTACCAATGAAACTGGAAAACTCATGCGACCTTAAAATCATTGGGGTAATGAACTATGTGGTGTGATACCCAGCCATACAGACCAGGAACATCAGAGTCAATGGTCACTTGAATGAGTTACTGGAGGATTGCTATCTCATATGGAGCTGCATTACACCACACTGTGGGTCAGTCCTTTAAGAAGGAGAAACTGCAGGGGGGAAATACATTTTTTTTTACTTTAAAAAAGTGAAGAAAAAATTCCAACCATTTTTAGAAAAGAGAAGTTGGTTCTTTGTGAATAGTTTACTTGAATCCTATGATTAGATTACTGCTCTCACTACCCTTATTTACTTGAATTCTATGTAGTTCAGTATTATAACTATAAACCAGCACTATTATACTATAGTACGCATTGTGGCAACTGACAATACAGCTCCTACATCACTATCAACTTTTATAAGCTTTTGCTTTATCCCATATAACCTCTATCATATGTGCCCCATAACTATTTAAGAACTTGTAATAAACTATTATAAACAAATGACTGGAGTAGTTCAGACTGTAATTCAATCTCTGGATTCTGCTAATATTCAGATCACTCCAATCTTTCCCATGTGGTTTAACATAATCACAAACACTGAACTGTTACCTTGTAATTCATGGATAGCAATCACATATTGTATATATAATATTGAAATTGAATGGAGAAATACCAGCAAAAACTGTAATCTGAATACTAAAACTCTTAATTTTAATGAAAGTACAAAAGATGGCCTAACAGTTAATTGTACAATAATTAACAAGTCAAACTTCCAGTTTATTCCTGCATTGAATAATGCATGGAAATTCATCCTGGACATTTCAAATAGTTATGATGACCTATTCAGCTGTCTTAATAGGAGAGAAAATACTGTGATTCAATATACGGTAATTAGTCAGAAATTATTTTACAAAATTTCCACAGAACACTTGAAAGGAATAATAGAAAAACATTCATAAAAAAAACTTAATTCAGGTCCTTCACAAGGACACAAAAGTTATTAGAAATGTAACTTAAATGCACCATAACAATAAAACAATTTGAAAAGTTACATTACTGATAATCAAAGTTAATAAATAAATAGCTCAATAAATAGTGCCTTAAAACACATACTTGCGTACAAAGGGATTATATTTTTCAACAAAAATTATTTAACTGGTCAATAAAACCGATCCATGATGATATGTAGAAAACACCAAAAGTGTTATGACAAAGCCTACAACCCTAAAATAATTTAGAACCAGTTAGACCTCGTGCCTAGAAGTTAACAGAAAGCCATAAATCCCCATTTCAGAAAATGAAACCGTAGTGGGCGTAAACGTCTCAATCTCATCTAATAATCCAATGAATCCAATCTCAAGCGCACAGCAACAGAAACTGCTTTCAGTTTCAAGGTTGAGGGAAATCAAAACCGCCTGCGTCACCATTCCCCCCCAACGTACAGAAACAAGGCAACTCCTCCCTCCTCTCGGGAGCAAAGTTTTCGCCAACTAATACAAACACCAGTCCCCGCTTTCCGCCTTATCGGGTCTTCGAGACGTCTCAAAGCGCTTGACGTGACAGAATAGACTGTGAAGTGAATTGACTGTATGTTTTGTGGGTGAAATGGTACAACAGGTACAGCTTGGGGGGGGGGGGGGGGGTGGGGAGAGAAATGATGAGTTAATGACTTTTGAATCTGTAAGTGGGGTTTTTTTTTGAGGGGGGGGGGGGGGGGGAGGGCGCTTGTTCGCTCCATATGACCAGACAGGACCCTCACACTCCAGCCCAGGAGGAAAGGTTGGGTCGGCAAGTTACACGTCGCACACGCTGCCAGTCCAGGCCACAAGTTTATCGGCTGTCAAACGGGTCTCGGAACGGTCACGAGAAAGGCGGTGCAATCGGTATCTGTTAGCAACTCGACGGTGGGGGAGTGACTGACTGCACAACGACCATGAGCTCGGGGAGGTGTGGCCCTCCCCCCCGCCCTCTCTCTCTCCCCCCCCCCCCCCGCTTCCCCAAGCTTAACCTTAAAACAAAACACAACATACAACAAAGTCAACGCAGCTTCTTTGACACACGGCGCACTGACAGGACATGACAGGACGGACGGACACACACACACACACGCGCGCGCGCGCTCGGTCTCTCTCACTCACACTCACCCTCCCTCCCTCGCTGGCGGAACGGCGGCACACGTCACGGCGCGGCGCGACGTCACCCGACTTTCCTGATGATTGACAGGCCCGCCGGCCACTCGCGGGTGGCAGCGCGAGCGCGCGCGGCGTGAAGGGGGGGGGGGGCGGCCCGCGTCACGGCGGAGTGGAGGCGGGACCTCGGGCCAACCGCCCGCCTCTCGCGCTGCTTTTTCGAAAACAAACGGTCGGGTCGGGCGCCAAGTTTGGTTGAGGAGGAGCAGCGCCGACGTTTCGGCGGCCATTCTGGGAGTTGTAGTCCGAAAGGGGCGGCAGAACAACCGTCAGTTACCTCACACACACAGACAGATACACACACACAGACACACACACACACATAGACACACACACACACATAGACACACAGACACAGATACATAGACACACACACACACAGACAGACACACACACACAGACACACACAGACAGACACACAGACAGACACACACACACAGACACATAGACACACACACAGACAGATACACACACACACATAGACACACACAGACAGACACACAGACAGACACACACACACAGACACATAGACACACACACAGACACATAGACACACACACATAGACAGACACATAGACACAGACAGACACACACACACAGACACATAGACACACACACACACATACACAGACAGACACACACACACACAGACACACAGACACACACACACACAGACAGACACATACACACAGACAGACACACACACACACATAGACAGACACATATAGACACACACACAGAGACACAGACACAAATAGACACACACACACACAGACAGACACATACACACAGACAGACACACACACACACACACACATAGACAGACACACATAGACACACACACAGACACACACACAGAGACACAGACACAAATAGACACACACGCAGACACACACACACAAGACAAGAAATAAGTTTTCAGTTTCTGAATCGGGTCTCTCTTGTAAACTGGAACACAGGGTTTCGAACTCACGTTCAGCTCGAGCCGTGTTTCAAGTTGTTGTTGTGTTGCTGATGGGATGACAGGACAAGCAGTTGGAAAGCGCTGGTTAGTCGTTTCTAACCCCACCCCCCACCGCCCCCCTCAAAAATGCTTTATTCAGCACCTTATTAGTGTGTTTTTTATTGCCAAAGGATGTGACTTCAGTTTGTAATCCTGATGTGCCAACGACGTTGTCATTCAATTGAATAACAACGACAACTTACATTTATTTATATGGCGCCCTTCACTCGGGATAGCGTCCCGGAGCGCTAGACGGTGGCGCAGCACGACACCAAGCTTGGGGGGGGGGGTGGGGGGGAAGAGCGAGGGTGGAGGGTGACCGTAAGCTCACGGTCAAAAAGGATGGTCTTTAGGTGGGATTTGAAGGGAGGGAGGGAGGGAGGGGGCAAGGCGGAGGGATTGAGGAGAGAGTTCCAGAGTTTCGGGCGTAGAGGCCGACGGCACGGTCACCGATGGTGGAGCGGAGGGGATGAGGGACGAATCGGAGGCCGGAGCCAGCCGAGCGGAGGCAGCCGGGTGGTGGGAGTGACAACGACTTGCCTCTCTCTCTCGGTTGATGCTCCGGTCACTACTTTTTTAAGTTAGTTTTTGAGATTAAAAAAAAAGTGTTTTTTTAACGCAAGTTACATTGGGTGAAAATAATAATAATAATCCTTGCCTTTGATACAGCGCCTCATCACGTCTTTGAGGCATCTCGAAGTGCTTCATAGGATATACTGTAAAGTGTAGTGACTGTATTTTGTGGGGGCGAATATACAAGGAATCCCGACAACATACTTCTAACAAAAGTTATGAATACATTGATATTCCATCTATTATACTGTAGAATATTATTACTGAATCAAATGAGGTATAACGATGTATAATCAATAATAATAATAATAATTTGTTCGCTCACTCCTCGACTGTGTGTGGGACGCTGCTGTGCGCAATTGGCTGCCGCGTTTCACCCACAAAATATACAGTCAATTCACTTTACAGTATATTCTGTGAAGCGCTTTGAGACGTCTCGAAGACGAGATAAGGCGCTGTATCAAGTAACAAGGATTATTGTTACAATAAATTCAACCACCAGAACTACATCCGTCAGGGATCGCTGCGCACTGTTTGCCTTAACAGCTGCTGCGGTGCAACGCTTTGGCCTCTGGGTCTTGTAGTTCAACTGCGAGCACTCACCACAACAGTACATAAAGCCCTCCCTTACCCGGACCAACCAACCCATCTGGTTTTGCAGTAAGTTATTCATACCGTGAAATTACAATAACCATTTGTTATGGTTAATTTACAGTCTGTATTTACTGTAGCGTTATTATGGGTTAATGTCAATCTGGCCAAATTAAATCAGATTTTATTTTCGTTTTCTGCGAAATTGGCATCATACAACATCAGCACCAAACTCATAATAGGCATTATTTATATAATTGTTTATAATATGAAACATAATACATATAGTTATGCTTATGATTATTTATAATATATGTAGAAAAACCCCTCGCTGTTCAGCACCTTGGGACGTCCTCCCGACGTGAAAGGCGCCATATAAATGCAATTTATTATTGCTCTGATTGTTATTGTTATTACTTACGTTACATCACCAAAAGTATTAGTGTAAAAGATGTTACCAAAATTATTTTGATTTTCAAAGTTTTTTTTTAGGCTGACTGGTTTTACTAATTGTTGATCATTGATACAGGGAATATGAATTAATTGCAAACGATTGAAATATAAAACGACTTTTTTTTTATCTGTGCATTTACATGGTAATAAGGACGTGAGAAATGTAGAAGGTAAAAGGGGTGCATTATCTCTCTATTTCTGCGCAAATGATAGCTTACGCATCGATTTTTTAATTGGCTGGGGTAAATCTAACTGTATTTTTGTTGTGTCCTGTAATATATTTGTACTGTCAGCTAGTTCTTCATTCTAGCTCCTCGGTACTGTTAAGCTGTTCACGTTCAGTGAGAAACTGGGATAATTAATAATGTTAGGTATTGATTTTTTGGGTGTTTGTTGAAATACAGGCTTGTGTAGGCCATCAAAGGGTTTAGTGCAACATTAATAGATACACGCACAGCCTACATTTATCAATTTTAGAACGACTTTATTTTATTTGGGATCTTTCCCCCATTAGTTGATTGATATTTGAAATAACATGTACTTCACATTGCACTTTGGATGGAGGGCTACCTTCCTTGTCCAGAACTTTATGAATAATCGAGAAAAAATGTATATTTGTTAACTTTTTGATATCTAGTGCGTTTTTATTCAAGTAACATGCTCATCCATCCACATCGCACGGTTGGACGGCTATTTTGCTTGTAGGAAAAATACCTGTCAAATCACAGGAGGTAACAGACAGTCTCCCTAAAATTAAAAGGCTCGACAGTTAAAAAGAGACGCAAAGATATAATATGTAAAGTAAGGAGGCAAAATAAACGAGAAGAAACGAACAGATGAGATAAAAAGTGTGAAGTTAAAAGAATGCCACAAGCAAAGAAAGTAACGGGCACACGAAGAGGGAAAAATAAGTACTATTGGAACTAGCAAAGTAGATCAGAATGATCCAGGTGAACGAACTTGAGAACACAACAAATTGGGGAAGAAAACGAAGTTATAAATGAATGGCGATGACACCAAAATACCGCACGGAAGGAAAAGTGTGAAGGATGTCTGAAAATAGATGAAAGGGAAAAGTACGCAAACCGAATGAAGCAGAAGAGAGAAGCAAAGAGCAGCAGGAAATCAGTCGCAACAAATAAAAGCGGAGGTGCTTCTAAAGGCTAAAAGTACAAAGAGAAAAGGAGTCTCTAAATATTTTAAAGCAGGAAAATAGTAAAGATGATAGTTAAGTGTGAACCGAAATGAGCAGCGCGAATAAAAATGCTGAAAACAAACTAAAAACAATCGAAGAAGAATGGAATACAACGAATGGGGGGGTGAACATTTAACAAAAAGATCGATGTGGTTAAATAATAAATGTCATATGGTAAAATGAGGAATTGTACACATTTTCAAAAAATAAAAAGGTGAAAGAAAATCATAAATTAAGCAACGTGGGGCATTTTTAAACGAACAGCAGAAAACAACGAATGAGATACAAATGGTGGCAAAGGTTAATTAATGCGGGGAAGAGACTGAGTGGAGTAAATAATAATATACGCTTTTAGTGGAAAAAGTAAGAAGGACGAAGAGGCGAGAGGAAAAATGGAGATAGAATAATAACATAGGAAGGAGCAGAATCGGAGTAATAAAAAGAACGAAGCACAGAGAGGATACAACGAAGGGGAAAGACTGAAGTGCAAACGGCAAAAGGCGGAGAGGGAAGGAGGGGGAGAGGAGGAGGGGGGAGAGGAGGAGGAGGGTGTAAAGTGATGGGCACTGAGTGTGCGGTGAAGGAAAAGACTACAATTCCCAGGTGTCGGCGGATGGCGCTGCGGCTGCGGCTGCGCCGCTCACTGCCCGGGGTTTGCGTCGGTGTATATTGCTGTCCCGGTGAGTGAGTTCTGAAATTCACAGACTACACACACACTGAGCCGAGCGGCGGCGGCGGCGGAGCAGCAGCGTATCATCCCTCCCTCCTCTCGTCGGACTCGGGACAGGGATCCATCCCCTCTGTGCATGTAATCAACACCACCCCTTACCTCCCAACAAGACTCCACTCACTCACTCACTCACTCACACACACACACACAGCCCTGTATTCCAGACTGCCACTCCACAGCCCGCACGCATACACTGTGGGGGTGGGGGGGGGGGGGGGGAGAGTTTTGCAAAAGAAATAAATCTTTCATTCCCCGCGTGTGTCCTGTTATCCCCCCACCAACACCCCCCCCCCCCCCCCTCACCACCCCACCTCCCTCTCTGCTCCCCATCAAAAAAAAGTGAAAGTGATCCCTGGGAATTAAAGTAAGTACAGTCCTGCAGAATGCGCCTGTGATAATGTGTTGTCTCCAACTTTGTCCGGAAGTCATTTGCGCGGCCCCACGGCCCGAGTGTGCACCTTGCAATGTTAAGATTAAAAAAAACTGCAGAAGATTAAGCATTTAGTGCAGAGTGATCTTTCTGGCGGTTTGCAGCACAGTCATTATTTCGTGGCTTGTAACCCATCTCACTGTACCGAACACAACGTTCGGTTTGTGCTCGTATAACCTCTGGTATGTTGTGCATAAATATATATTTATATGTGTGTGTGTGTGTGTGTGTCGTATTATTATCTGTGCTATTGTTAATTCCATACGGCACAATTTCTTAGCATTTGTGCTATTAGCTGTTTTATTTCTCGATGATCACTACTAAGTATCATTAAATTAGCTGTTTAATTGGTCCCAGTTCCAAAGTTGCAATGAATTATCCGGTAGGGGATGTTATTAATCCTGATAGTTGTAACAAAAGTACCAACTGGGTTTTTGGTGTCTTGATGTCTGAGGAGAAGAAAAGTATGAGATGATTTAGTGGCGGTACATTTCGATTTTTGGCTGCAGTGCTGCTTTCTCTTTTTTTTTACCAGCGCTGTCATTCGTTATTAGTTACTATTGATCGCTTTGCAAAGTGATAACTGAACTAAAATTAATGTCAATTCTGCCGCGTAAATCAATACCGTTAAGTTATTTTAATCTTTTTTTGTCCTGTGGCGAATTAAAAATCCAACAAAGCAGGAATAGCACTCTGCCCAAGAAAATACAAACCAACTATTTTACCGTTTGACAGCCAGGACTTTGGAGCGAGAGGGGAGGTGGGGGGAGAGGGGGTTAATCAGTGGCTTTCTCCTGTGATTTCGGAGCAATAAATGTATTTTTGATCACAGGGCTGCAGTGGTTCTGTTATTTGGGGTCAGTCTTTAAGCCCGTGACACTTTGACACCAGAGTGTATTAAGTATAGATTTTCATAATTACTGTGGTCAAATCGTACCTAATCTATACAGGCGTCAGAGTGCGTGTAATGGGAGAGAGAGAGTGAGAGACAGAATGTGTGTGTGTGTGAATATTTATTTTTGTTCTTCTCTTTATTAATACAGGGTCTATCAGGCAGTGGTGTAATGATGTCACTCTGCTCTGTATAAAGCCAGCCTTGCCTGCATTTGAGAAGGTCATTATATAATTCTGGTACAAGCGAGCAAAGACTTTCCAATGGACTTGCACAGAACAGCTTTCAAGATGGAGAATTCTTCCTACCTCCCCAACCCCCTGGCATCTCCAGCCTTGATGGTCCTCGCCTCCACGGCAGAGGCGAGCCGAGATGCCTCCATCTCATGCCAGCAACCCAGACCCTTTGGAGTACCTGTCTCGGTGGACAAAGATGTCCATATCCCCTTCACCAATGGTTCCTACACCTTTGCCTCAATGTACCATCGTCAGAGTGGGGTGCCGGGGGCCTTCCCGAATCGGGATTTCCCCCCTCAGCTGTTGCACCTCCACCCCCAGTTCGCCCCGCCGAGCCTGGACTGTACCCCCATCAGTATGCTGAACCACAGCGGCGTGGGGGCATTCCGGCCCTTCGCCTCCGCTGAAGACAGAGACAGTTACCAGTCCGCCTTCACACCCGCAAAGAGACTAAAGAACTGCCACGAAACCGAATCTCCTCACCTGAGGTTTTCGGACACGGAGGGCAAGGAGTATGAGTTCACCCCCCAACTCCCCTCCAGCTCCCCCGGCGCATTAAAGCTGGACGACACTGGGAAAAAAGTCTTTGCTGTGTCGGGTCTCATCTCCGACCGAGAAAACTCTGCGAGTCCGGAAGAAAGTCGGAATGAGAGATGTAAGTGCTTTCATTCATTCATTCATTTATTCATTCATTCATTCATTTATTGTGACTTCATTGGGCCCTCTTTACATTTCACATTGGAATTCTCCCCACCCCACCCCACCCCCCAGACTTGCCACAAACACTCAAAAGGTCACAGCTAATATTTCACATTTCACTATCCAGAAAGTTTTCAATAGTGTTTTTTCAGATCCTTAATGGCTTCACTGCGTTTTACAAGTCAGCTTTGAATATAAAGTAAGATCGTGAATATGCACCAACTCCAAATAATATGTATTAACATTACAACTCCAGGTATTTAAACTTCCAGAATTGTGGTCATTTTTTCCATTTGATAAAACCAGAACCATGTGAGCCACATCATAGCAGAACATTTCTGCTGATATGTCTGTCACCTTTGCTTTGCATGCTTTAGTTTTAGCTGTTGAAACATATACTTTAAGACGTAGATGTTTATTGAGGAGAATGCATAAAAAAAGCCCACTTTTTTTCTACAATAAAATACAACAATCAGAACTATACCTTTCTGTGACAATTTTTTTTAAAAAAAGGAAAGGGGTGATCCCGTGTGGCTCAAACAGTCAGTGTCTTAAATATTCTTTTTAAGAAAGATTTGTTATCATTGACATTTTTCAACCTCCCCCTATTACTGAATAACTCTTGGGGGGGAAAAAAGGGCCCTTTAGCTGAGAGGAAGTCGATCCCCTACATCTGTATTGTGATGTTTGTCAAGTTAAATTGCAATTCCAGAAGTTTGTGAGGGCTCATCAGTGGTCCAAGAAGAAAGGTGCTGCCTGGAGGATGAGGTGATAATGGGTGATAAGTTAACAAGGCTCAGCTGTGGGAAGCTACTGACTTTTGTTACTGTTTGTTTTGAGTGAAAAAAGTATAAAGAGGAGACAAGAGAGGGAGAATAATACACAGAACAAAAGTGGAAAGGGACATAGAAAGTGAAAGCTGAAGGAAGTAAAAACGAAATGAGGGGGACGAAATAGACATGAAAAGATTGCAAAAGGAGTGGATCCAAATGGTAAGAAAAAGATTCACGCAGTACAATCAAAAAGGTTAGAAATAAGAAAATAAGCCAGAAGGACTAAATTACTGTAAGGAATGAGTGATTAATCTGCACTCGTTGAGTCAGAATCCAGGCCCCCATCTTCCTTCCTGAACAGTTAACAAAAAAACTTAAAACAACAAAACATGGATGTCTTTGCTTCCTTCCTGGCAGGACCAACCTGGTTGCTTTTCTTCATAAATTTCGTTTGATTTATTGGTCAAACAGATTGAACCAAGGTGGGTGGGATGGCAAATAATGGAGGAACTAGCTTAGATACAAACCCATGCTAATGTTCTTTTCTCTCCCTACAAGTAAACTTTAGCAAGGGTGTGCTTATAATCATGTGGCCATCAGGGTGTTTTGCAATACTTAACCAGATGTGAAAAGGCTGATCTTTTGAGTTCTCCCCACTGGTTTCCAACTGGCATCCCTTTCACATTTCTTTAAGTGCTTCCCTCCCCTCTTTTCCTCTTCCCTCTTCTTATGGTAATGACAGCCACTAATATGTAAAAATCTAGAGGAAGAAGGCAGTAGTAGTTCAGCTTTGAGCAGTTGCTGAGAACCAGTATTATAAAACCTCTGTCTTTAAACCTGTGGTGTAGAGGGGATGGAGGGGTGTTGAAATGAATATTGAGGTGTGAAAACAACAAGAGAAAGGACAATTGGCGTTTCGCGCTGTGCCATTTGGTACAGCGCTGGATTGCGAGTTACCAAGTGGAAAAAACTACCTAGTCCTATCTTCTGTACTAAATTGCCCGCCACTGGTTGAAAGACAACTAGATAAATCTATGTTGGCAGCTTCCTACAATTGTGAATAAAAATGGTGAGGAAAAAAGGGTTGGAAAGAAAATTGTTAAACTAGTCTTCAACTAGTTTGGTTCTTTCCCCTCAGAAGCATGTTGTCATTTACAAACTGGTTTTATTCAGAAATGTTCATGTATAATTGTAAATCTGCTTATTCCATCTCCAAACTACATTGAGACACATGCACACCCAATGCCCAACGTACAGTATTTGTTTCATCTAAAAGCAACATTAAAATTGTTCGCAGATATTCCAAGCCATCTGCTTTTGTTTTAGAAATTATTTTGACTAAGAATAAAAACAAGAGATTAAGGATGCCTGATTTTGTGAATAATTGATTAAAAAAAGGTTTGAAAATGATAAGCCTGATTTATTAAAAACTTTGCTAAAACGTATGTTGCCAATTTATAAGAAAATTTGAGCAAGAAAATAAAATAAGCAAGATTCAATTATACATTCTTTTACTTATCTTCCTCCCCAAAATGGAGGGGGTGAGCGTATGAAAATGTATTAGAAATTAAAACGACAGTGCGCACAGGATCATCATCGATTATTTTTAAATATTGTATTGGATTTTATTAAATGAACAGTAATGTGACGTTTCTTCAACTGTACAATTGTTACTAAAATTGTATTTAGTGATGTCAGTTAAGCAGTCTATATGTTTATGTCTTTATCTATCGGACTGTCTTTCTATTACAATTTATTGCTATAGCTACTTTTAGTTAACACTGATTGCATTGCACTACTGTGTAGGATAAATGGTTGATTTACAAAGTGGAGTTTCATCGCAAAGACTGTAGCCTGAAATATTGCAGCTAAATGGTAATATGTATGGAATTTTTTTGGGGGCTGCCAGAGGCTTAGTACGCAGATCTGTCACTTTCCCTGAGCAACAACCCTGACGACCTCTATTCAAAGTGCCATCGATTTCCTTTCTTTTTTCTTCCCAAAAAAATCTGTTACAAGACCGCTGCCAAGGGAGTACCTGCTCTCTCTTTCTCTCTCTCTCACACACACACACACAGTGTGATGATGTCTTTTACCTCTTCTTAATTTTGTGCGTTAAAAAAAAGTCAGCCAGTGCAAACTTGAACATTTTCCTTTAAGTTAACCGCTGTGCTGTTAAAAAATGTGAAAAGATAGCCAAATGATATATATATCCCCTTTCCCTATTATTTTAAAGGGCTTAGTAAGCAAAGGTTTTATGAGTCTTATTTATTTTTTTAAGCCTGGCTTAAAGGAATTTATTTAATAAGTTTAACCCAGCACTTTATGATTGGTGAAATCTTCCAGGACAAACTCCCAGACTTTGAATTTCCATTTGTTAAAACCTGTTTGTATTGTGTGTGATTCGGAGCTTGAATAAATGTTCCAAAGAGAATCGGGTCGCTGCCAACAGCCGGTCTCTTGCTTTGTTTTACTCTATATATTTTTTTGAATTCTTATAGTTTAGCCAAATATTTGCCTTTATCATTTCGGTGCAGCTTAGAAAGTCTAAGAAAAAGAATATAAATAATCAACAAATTACTAGAGAGAGAAAATAACCGTGAATTAAGAATGGAGGGATTTGAATAAATAAAGCGATGACAAAAAAGGGACAATAAAGTAATTCTTTTTATTTTAGAGACAAATTAGGCAAAGCTGAAGTTATTCATTTTGACATTGTGACTTGGCTTAAGATTTTACGTGACCTTTCACACAATCATACATGTCCGACTTGATACTTTCTCTGGAATGGAGAAGAAAAAACTTTGTGTACTCTTGTAGATAATGAATGGCTCTTGAACACAGACTCAATGCCTTGTGAACAAGTCCAACATTTATTTACCTAAAAGTTGGGGGAAAGGGCATTTCAGGAACTGTTTCTTTCCCTGGCGATCAGCGTTCAGTGATCATTGTCGGAGAATAGTGTTGGGGGGGGAGCTTGGAAGAAATCTTGTCAAACCCTTGGTCCGTGTAAGGCTGTGCATATTGAGCCTTGGCTTTGGGATAAAATCAAATGGATCCTCAGATGCTTACGATCAATGCCAGTGTTGCTTGTACGAAATTTTGTTTGTCTCCGCAGTGCTGTTTCATGTTTTTTCCCCTTTATTTTTAATTTCAAAGTGTTCTGTTCACAGTCAGTGGCCCAATTTAAATTTACTGGTATAGAATTCATGGCAAAGTGGGTGTCTATCGTGTCTAGTCCCTGCTTTATTTGAAAATGCCTCATTTCTCTGTAGGGGTACTATCTGTGTCTGGCAAAACATCTTTATTCTCATCAATTACTGCTCATTTGCCCTCTGTCTACATTTGTGCAATGTGTCTGGTCTACAGAGGCTGAGGGAGAGCTTGATGTTCAGTCAGTAAACCCACCAGGGAGACTCGGTCGGTGTCCTGAGCTCTCTCCGACAGCATGATAGCGCATACAATGAAGCAGACTACTGTCAGAAAGCAAGCTAGCATTACAGCACACAGTCATAATCACTTTTACCACTCAAAGCCAAACGATGTTCATTGTCAGAATAATTTTTGAACCAATTGCACATGATGCATTTCCATTGTTAAAAACTCACAGAACAGTTGCAACCTTTTTTAAAAAATGTTGTACTCTTAAAAACACCATTTTTTTTCTGTCACGGCACTACCAGAATTCTCAATTTACTAAATAAAAAATGAACACCACGAATACAATCAAACCCTTAGATATTACTCTACAAATCCGTCGGCATATTATATTTACCGCAAGTCAATGGTAAATCATTTTTAATTTGAAAACTCAACTGCTCTCTTATATCGCCACAGGGAAAAAAAATTTAAAATGAAAAATGACAATGTGCTAAGAATCTCTTCAGGTAAAATGATGCCGTTTATTTCACGCTTTTGAAATATTGCTTGGTAGCTTAGAAAGAGACAATGCTAAATTACCAACAACCTAGGGACATTTTCTTACTGTTCCTGAACGATGAAAACTTTGCAATCTGTTGTCCCCATTTCTTTCAGCACTTGAATATTGCAATAAAATGCATTCTGCTACATTAAGGAAAGATAAGTATTAATGTTGAACATGTGACACCAGCATTTGTAACCTATTAATTGATTAAATCATTTGAATGTTGTAAATCCATTCCAAGTGAAATGACCTTTCAGT